TTAATACTTATACAACCCTTGGAACAGTATTTCACACATAGTAACCATTCAGTAAATATTAATAATGATTGCTAACAAAGGGTAAGCTTTCTTAAGTATAATCATTTCATTAGTTTGTATTTTGATTTATCAGCATAATCTATATCAGCCACTGGTAAACTACAATCCTTGGGCCAAAGGTCGCACATGACATATTTCTGCACCAGCCTATTGCTAAGAATGGTTTTCACGTTTTTAAAGGGTTGTTAAAAAAAAAAGAAAAAAAGCAGAATATGAGACAGGGATAGCATGTGGCCCATAAAGCGTAAACTATTCACTATCTGACCCTTTGCAGAAAGTTGCAGCCCCTGATCTACATGATTTAATGGAAAGAGATAGGAAACTATAGGCTAGATATGGCTTCACCAATTGCTTGTTATATGACTTTGGAAAAGACACGTTAAATGTGTCTAAGCCTCTGTGAAATAGGAATGGCAAAATGATAACCCTTACCGTGCCTGGGGCCCAGGCTCATTTTAAGAACCAAATGAGGTAATTCGTATGAAATGTGCTAGAAATGACTCACATATAGGCATGTTGGTTAAAATGATATGGTCTCCATACATTAGGTTCATATAATCATGTTAGCACCTAGGTATAAAACCACGGAACATTGTCTTCAGAAAAAAGAGTTCCAAAGCTAAATCACTTGTCCCAGTAAAAAATAATAACAAAATAGCCATTGTTGTTTGAGAGCTTGATACGGGCCAAGCTCTACAATCAACACTTGAGTTACATCTTCTTCTTTTATCCTCACAACACCTCTATGGGGAAAGTGTTGTTATTTTCCCCATTTTGCAGATGAGAAAAATGAGGCCCAGAGAAGTTAAGTAATTTTGTCAAGGCCACACCTCTAATTGTGCAGCTGGCAGAGGAAGAATTTAACCTAGGGAGTCTGAATGCAGAGCCTGTACATTTAAGTACTGCATATTTTGCCACATCCTGGAAATATGTGTTGATTCAGGGTAAGCCCCTCTAGAAAGGAGAAGTCACAGTAAACTGTGATTGTGGTCATTAGATATGTTCATGTGTGGCCTGATAGAGACTTGCTTCCCACACAGGCCAGGGTGGGTCTAATGGACCTGCAGAAAGAGAGGCAGGCATCATGGGAGGAAAAGAAGCTTTCTGATCAACAATGAGATCAGAAAGGTAGTGTTGTGAAAACTAATGGGCTCTGTTTCGGGAAACTAATAATTTAAGGCAGAATGTGCTGGAAGAAGAAAAAGTTGCTGGGAACAGACATGAGCAAAGAGTTGGAGGCAGCTCAAGGGGGTTGATGAGAGCTGTGTACAGAAAAAGAAAGGGGAGGAGGGTGAAGCATGGGAAATTCTGTGGATGGGACACCAGGGGAGCACTGTCACATGGGATGTCACGGCCTCCGACATCTGGATACAATCTTATCTGTAAAGCCAGGCTGCTCTGGGTAGAGCTGAGAGAAAGATCTCAGGCCCAAGGAGGCAAAAATGAAGCCAAAGTGAAAGATTTCGAGAGGGAGAAACTGACAGATTTGAAGATGCTGGTCAGAATCCAAAAGCTAAAACCACAGCTCACAGTCCAAAGGGCAATGACATTCCAGAGAAGAAAAACTACCGTCTCTGGGGTCAGATTAGAATGAGTAAGAACCAGACTCTCATGCACAACTGTTCTAGCCTAGCTGTATGTCCCTGGGACCAGCCTCTGTTCCTAGCTGGTGCCCACCCACGCCCACCCCAGGCAAACATTCTCACCCTCTGCTGAACGCTTTTTTGTATTTTAAGGGACATGTTCACTCTCTCCTGGTGGTCTCATGACTTCCTCATTGATATTGGTTCTTAATCTTTGTGAACTTTAGAATCACTAGTGCAGCTTTTCCTTTTCATTTTTTAAGTAAATATATACCCACATGGTGCAAAGCTTAAAAAGGTATAAAATGTTCTGAAAAGCAAATCTCCCTCCTGTCCCATTGCCAGTCATCCAGTTCCCTTCCCAGAGGCAACCACTGTTCCTAATTTCTTACAAGATGACGTGTGCATACATGATCTTACATCATACTAAGGATGGCGTATTCTACACACTATTCTTCAATCTTTTAAAATTAACAGTAAATCTTGGAGATAGTTCCACTTTGGTTTACACAGCACTTCCTCATTCTTTTTTAAAAGATGCAGAGTATTCATTGTACAGATATACTACAAACTTTAAAAATCAGAACGTTTTGGACATGTGGGTTGTTTCTAGCCTTTGCTACCATAAACATCACCACATTGCCTGTCTTCATAGCTTTTCACACAATATGCACGTATCTCTATAGAGGAAATTCTTAGAAGTGAAATTACTAAGTCAAAGGGCACAAGCTTTTAAAATTCTGATAGCTAACTGCCAAATTGTACTGATTACACTCCCCTTGGCAAGGTATGAAAAAATCTGTTTCTCTGTGGGACTTAAAAATACACAGAAGCCCTGATCCCTCCTGAGTCTCTAGGTGTGGGGCCTGGGCATCCGTATTGGGAGTCTCAGAAGGGAATTATGAGCCAGAAACTCACCTGGGTCCTCTCACCCTCCAGCTTCTCCCTTCCCCCAGGGATTTGCCACAGTGCAGTATACATGGCCATTGTCCTCCAAGCCTGACAGGCCTCAGCTTCTCACAGGCTTCTGAGCTCAGCATTCAAGCTGATGAGCCTGAGACTGTCCAGGCACTGCCAGCGCTGGTGCTCGCAGGGTCCCGGCTGGCAGGTCTTCTAGCCCCATGTGGGGCCAATGCTTTCTCCCTAAGTCCTGGCTCAGAAAACAGGGCTTTTCCATGTCAATCCAGTTGCTGCCCTCTGTCAGGGACTGGAGCACAATCCACGCCAGGGATACAACCATGTGGACAGCATATGGAAAAGGCCTGGAAGAAAACAGGAAATATGGAAATGGTTAGCAGTGGTAAGATACTGAGTGATGTGAGAGAAAAAAATGTGGAGTAATTTTACAACGTTGATACTAAAAACAAATAAAATTGCCATCTTTGATATAATCTACTCATCTGCCTATGGCCCCCTGATGGGGCATTTGTGCGTAATTGTTCTCTGTGCCTTGGAAGGGTTGGCAGGGTTGACCATGTTCTTCCAGTTCTGGAGGGGCTGGGAGGGGCCCATGTAGTAGTGGCAGGTGTGCCCCACCCTCTTCTAGGCGAAGCTCTGTAGATGCACAAACAGACCAGCACCAACACCTCCCTGCATGGAGCCAAAGAGCAGATGCTCCCATCACACTGGCTGGTGGAATCACCTTTATTCTACAAGTGAGGGTTGCAGTCAGCTATGCCTGTGGGCAGGACCTCTTAGGCATGGCCCAGGCCTAACTTGGGGGCTAGACACTGAGAGGGCATTTAATAAATATTTATGAGAGGAAGAAAGAGAGGAAGGGAGAGGGATCACCCATGTGGCATAATTTTAAGAACCGTGAGCACTGGGCCCACCAGATACTTCCCAATGCCCCCCATGGAGCCTGACCTTTTCACTGACATTGATCCTTCCAGCTATGTGATCCATCCCTTTTCTGAAATATTCATTTGACAAATCTTTATTGAGTTCCTATTATGTGCCAGGTACAGTTCTAGATGCTGAGAATAGAGCAGTGAACAGAACAGTCGAAAATCATGCCCTTGTGAAGTTTACATTCTGGGTGGAGTGGAAAGGTAATAAACGAACAAGGAATTTATTAGATATGTGTATTTATAATATACATTTCACAACTGCTAGAGAGGAAGGTAAAGCAGGGAAGGGCGATGGGAGAGGAGAATGTAAAAATTTTAGAGAGGGTGACCCGAAGTCCTCACTGAGAAGGTGACAGCGTGTGAAGTTTACATTCTGGGTGGAGTGGAAAGGTAATAAACGAACAAGAATTTATTAGATATGTGTATTTATAATATACATTTCACAACTGCTAGAGAGGAAGGTAAAGCAGGGAAGGGCGATGGGAGTGAGAGGAGAATGTAAAAATTTTAGAGAGGGTGACCCGAAGTCCTCACTGAGAAGGTGACAGCTGAGGAAAGACATGAAGGAGAAAGGCAGCAAGCCATGCAGATATGTGGAGAAAAAGTGTTCCAAGAAGGGGGTACAAGTGCAAAGGTCCTGAGGTAGGGCCCTTGACTTCCTGCAAGTTAGTTTTCTTTCTTGAGCTGGATCACAAGCAACGTTATAATGCCTTATATGTCTTTAGAAATAATTTTGATTGCCTTTCACGGTATACCCTTTTGTACCTCTTGAATTTTATATCACTTGCAGATATTTAAAAAGTTTAAAAAACTTTAATTGAGGTTATGCCTCGGAATGGGGATACACAGCACAGAGTTGGACACATAGTAGGGTTCAGTACTTATCTGCTGTTTGAGTGTTTGATACTGACATGTTTAAAACATCAGGGGTCATTTTGTCTTTTAAAGATTACAAATCCCATAGGTTTGCTAAGAGGTTGTTTGTTGACATGTCAGGTTCATTTATTGTCACCAGAGGGACAACATGTTCCTTTTCAGACCAGTTTAACTGTCGAATGGATCCCAGATTTTTAGTTATGTGAGATGACTGCACTTGTCACCTTTTTTTTTGTTAGCTTCCTCTAAGCCCCTGAAGGCCCCTCAGCTAAAAGAGTAGAATTTGCAATTTTTTTTTTTTTTAAAGAAGAAAGCGCTTCTAAGGTATTCACATTTGAAAACCCAGGGAAAATGTAAACAGTTGCACCTGAAGTGTGAGCAAGGGAAATGAATCACATGACAAGAACTAGTTGACAGAATTTAGTCCTCTTGTTAGTTGGCTCCCTTTCTGCATCTTTTTGCCCTCCCACTCAGCTGTGGGCCACAGATGCAGGCAGGAGATTATACAATACTCAGCCAGCCCTTGAGAAAGTACTTTTGTTTCCTGACCAGCTGAAGAGCATGTTGCACAGCATATCCAATTTCACAGCTGTAGAAAAAGTGTAAGAAAGAAAGGAAAACTATGGTGAGCATTTTTAAATAATAAAAAGAAATATTTATGTTTTTTGGTAGGTTCTTATTCATTTTAATTAGGTCTAATCAATTCAGGTGATGAGGTCTTTTCTGTAGAGATGAGGGAAGGAAGGAGGGCCGCCAGGAATTAGAGGCTGAAGGAGTTTTCTGTTGTGCTAGAGAACAGTGCCAGGGTTGTTGTGCAGCAGGTGGACAAGTTTGATACCAAGTGGGGTAAGAGAAGCATCAAAGAGCGTACATTTGGCAGGGAGGGAAGAGGTATCTTTCTATAGGCAGTTAAGATACATTTGGTAGCAAATTGCTAGCCCCACTTCTGCAAAGGGGGAGCATTTCAAAACGTATGCTGTCATGGTCCCATTGGATTGGGTACAGAGCACAAGAGAAAGTGAATTCATAGGCTTCAAAGCTTGTCTTAGAACAGTAATTTATGTACTCTGTGACTTTAGGCACAGTAAGCCCTCAGTAGACGTTTGTGGTTGAAATGCTGCATGGATCCAAAGCAGGAATTTTAAAGTCCACATACAATCCCTTTCTCCCTCTGGTATTTGAAGTATGCTATGTACTTCATGGCCTTGCATAGAATAAACCTTTGGGATTTTTGCTCTTTCAACCTGCTTGCTTGCTCTTACTACACCTGCTCTGCAGCTTTCTGCAAACCTCCAGTCACTCCTGTGCAGCCTTTTCCCCAGCCTGCCACCTTCCATCCCCCTTGAGCCGAGGCATCATCTCAAGGGGAGATAGTTTTCTAAGGGGAGGTTAGTTTTCTTTTTCATTCTGTTAGGTTGATTAAGAGTTCTATTTTTATAGATAAAAGCAATATTGCTTGGATCATGGGCTAAATGCTCTGTGGGCTAAAGGCTAGTTTAGTGAGCCTTCTTAGTTCAACTACTCCATCAAGAATCAGATGGTTGTGGCTACCTTCATTGCAGGCAGGGTGCCCAGAGGGAATTAAGTCCTCCAGATGACCTAAAGTTAAGTGGAAAATGTCACTATGACCTTTTTTCAACGTTTTAAAATTGGCTTTCTTTTTGTTTGTTTTTTAAAACACTTTTATTTATTTTTTTAATGAGGCAATAGTCAAATAGAGCAAAATTTTCAAAGTTCAAAAGGTGGAAACTCCTCTTCCCACTTCTCTCCCCCAGCTTAGTTCCATCCTCAGAGGCAACCAATGTACCCATGTCTATGTAACCTCCACACATATTTTATGTACATACAAGCAGATAGGCACACACAAACATACACACATATTCCCCTCTCATTTTTCTTTTACACAAAATACCAGCAAAATATACACATTTTCTGCACCTTGCTTTTTTATCACTTAATATATCTTGGAGACCATTCCATACCAGTTAGAAATTTATTTCATCATGTATTACACACACACACAAAGCAGCCCACATTATGATCATTTCTCTTGCCTCAATACTTAACAGTTGATTTTTATTTGTGTTTTCCCCTTGCTGGTGAATGACTTCTACCACAGGATGGTCCAGTCACATTCTTGGAATTGCCTTCCAGATAAAACATCTGAATAAGCATTAGTGCGTTTGCCTGGAGGATAAGTTAACAACTATATGTGATTGGGGATCTGTAAGCACATCGATGTCAACTACTGTTACTTTAAACCACATCCTGAACAAGGTCCCTTAAGGTCATAGTGTGGGTTTGCCTGGAGGATAAGTTAACAACTATATGTGATTGGGGATCTGTAAGCACATTGATGTCAACTACTGTTACTTTAAACCACATCCTGAACAAGGTCCCTTAAGGTCATAGTGTGGGGACTCCAAGAATTGATTGGTCTGTTTTCTCTTTTTCCAGAAAGTAGAATGAACCGAAGCATTCCCGTGGAAGTTGATGAATCAGAACCATACCCAAGTCAGTTGCTGAAACCAATCCCAGAATATTCCCTGGAAGAGGAATCAGAACCACCTGCTCCAGATATAAAGAACATGGCACCTAACAGTTTGTCTGCATCCTTAGGAGACTTTTCTCGGGCTCACCCACCCCTGAAACTTGCAAATCACCAGCGGCCTGTGTCCCAGCAGGTCACCTGTCTGCGCACTAAAGTCCTGGAGGAAAGTGAAGACAGCTTCTGCAGGAGACACCCAGACCCAGGCAAAGATTTTCCCTCGGGCTCCTCTGCAGCCAGCAAGTCTGAATCTGAGTCTGTGGTTGGAGCCCTCCCCACAGAGCATCAGTTTTCGTTTACGGAAAAACGTAATCAATGGCTGGGATCTCAGCTTTCAGCAGCTTCTCCTGACACTGGCCATGACTCAGACAAATCAGACCAAAGTTTACCTAATGCCTCAGCAGACTTCTCGGGCAGTAGCCAAGAGACGGTGCAACGGCCCCAGCCCCACAGGAACCGCACAGCCCCAGATCTGCCTACAATAGACACAGGGTATGACTCCCAGCCCCAGGATGTCCTGGGCATTAGGCAGCTGGAAAGGCCCCTGCCCCTCACCTCTGTGTGTTACCCCCAGGACCTACCCAGACCTCTCAGGTCCACGGAGTTCCAACAGTTTGAACGGCAGAGGTATCCAGTGTATGCACAGATGCTGCCTCCCAGTCCTTCCCCACATGCTCCACGGAACTATCTTAACCATTGTCCTGGAGGTCCCAATCATCAGGTGCCATGTAAGTGATCTTTACCTCCTCGGGACATTCTGGTCTGGGTGACTGAGGAAAGAAGGGCCAGCACAGTCATGTTGCAGCGAGGGCATTCTGCTCATAGGAACTTTCCGTGTGTGGCTGGATTTGCAAGGGGCCTTAAGAGAACACTTTTTCTTATTCCCATTTGGAAACTCCTTCTCTAGGAAACTTGAAGGACAAAACAGATTCCTCTGTTTGGGTCTGTTAAACTGAAACCTGCTTAGAGGCAGGAAGATGAGCCAAACAATTTCTAGAAAACCTATTTGTTGTTTTAACTTTTGGGAATCTGGGCCTTCCTTCTCTTCATGCTTCCTACCCATCTTAGACTTGGCAGAGAAATGGCCATCGGTCAAAAAAAAAAAATCATTAGGTGCCCAGAATGTCATTGAGACTCTGGATTCATGCCATTGCATGAAGACGGAGTTGCTCCTGTGACTCTGGTGCTTAAACCCCTTGGCAGCCTTGAGCTGTCCACGTCTACCCTACATTCCAGCCAGGCCCAAGGACCAGCAGTCCCCCTAACTTGTCCCACTCTTCCACATCTACACCCATTTGCCCATGCTCTTCCCTCCACCCAGGATGTTCTCCCCATCTTGTGCATTTCACCCAGTTCTATACATTTTTTTTCAAAAACAGCTTTATTGAAATCTAATTTACATACCGTAAAATTTATCCTTTACCTATTTAAAATATACAATTCAATAAATTTTAGTATATTTATAGAGTTATACAACCACCGCCATATATATCTTTTACAACTTAGCTCAAGTGTCCCTTTGGAAACCTCCTCAGATCTACTGGGACAACTAACTCCAGTGTGGCATCTAATTATGGACTTGTCTGCCTCTCCTTCCAGACTACAAGCTTGGGCACATCAGCAAATGTGTACTTTCAATCCATAATTCCCCAGCATTTAGCACAGTGCGTGGCATATACCAGACTCTCAATAAACTACTTATGAATGAATCATTACTGTATCAGTGCAGTAAGCATATCAGAAAGTGATAAAGTCTTAGAATGAAATAAAAAGTCCATCACCATTCTTGATGTTAAATCTCTACTGAGGCCACTGGAAAGTAACACTAGGGCTTTACAGATGAAACACAGGGCTGTGAGATGGGACATTTTTCTTAGCAAAAAAATGTACAAAAAACAGTTCAAATAGCATAAGAAAAGTCTGACCAAAGTCTGATGCCCAGCTTTAAAATAAATTATAGAAATAATCACAAATGCTGTAATCAACCATAATCTCAGTATAAGAGACTATAAGCTCAACCATAAGCTCAGTCTAAGGCTTCGTACAGTGAGTGGGGAAGCAGCAGGGCTTGGGGAGAATGGGGTCCTGGGCTAGAGGGGGAGAAAGAGCCCCTGAGGCCTAAAACTGGGATCTAGGGTAAGGTGTTGTATGTGGGGAAGGCAACTGATTGGGGGACGTGGATGCCACTGCTTGCTCTGAGTGCCCAATAATAGGATGGGTGTGGTGGCAGATTCCCTTAGGTATGAATCACTGAGAACTCAACCTTGTCAATGTCAGACCTATGTTTATTTCCCAGTGATTGACAGGTTAAAAGGAAATAATTTGTGAGAATAATACCATAAACTACTTTCTAACATTCTAGTATCTGCATTTAAAGATAACTTTTCTGATTATAACAGTAATATTTCATCACCCCTCCAAATTGAAATATGCCCCAATTTCAAAAATGAAAATAAAAAGTATTCGTATTTCTGTCACTCAAATATAGTTACTTACTAGGGTTTTGACATATTTACTTCCGGTGTTTTTTTTCTTTGCATGTATATTTAATGTAAAATTAAAATAATTTCCATTCACAGTGAATGTACTTCTTCCAGCATCATGTAAAAATGCTGCATTGTATTTTATCAGATAAGATCTACCAAAATGTTATTAACCTATTCTTTATTGTTAGACATTTTAAATAGTTTCCAGTTTTCTGATCCAATAAGCAATGCTATGATAAACATCATATGCATAAGTTTTTATCTGCATTTCTGATTAAGAAGTGAAAAATTTTAAAGATATCTTTGGTAGCAAGGTTAATGCATAGAAGTATAAATACTTACTCAAAGGCTTTGTGATACTAAGTCCCAAGCATTGCCTTTATCTAGTAACTGGAGAAAGCCACATAGTGATAGACCCAAAATAAAGCATTGAATCAATATTATAATGAGGGTCCCAGGAAGATAGCCCCATTGGAAAATATTTTTTCCTGTTGAAGCCTGAAATGGCACCATTAGCAATCCAGTTTTGGAGGTAAGCATTGCCCCCTTGGGGCAGTTTCCTTTAAAAGGCAACACTCCCAACTGGGAACACTTTTGTCTCTAATACCTCAGGACCTGCTTTCTTTCATCAGCTCGCCTTCCCCTAGCTCTCTGTATTATCTCCTTCTATTGAGGGAGGTGGTGGGGTGAGAGGGGCCACATCTAGGATCCTGGGAGTGAAGAGAGGTGACGAAAGGCAGAGAGGAGAGAACTTGGACAGGAGACAGGAATAATTCACAGAAGATATACAAACAGCCAAAATGCATATGAAACCAAGCCCAACATCACTAGATTTAAGAATTGCAAAATTTTTAAAAATACCTTTTCCCTGACTAGGTGTGCAAAAATAAAAACCTCCAACAACATCCAGCATTAGTGGGGTTATAAGGAAACGAATTCGTACACTCTTGGGAAGAATATAAATTGGTGCTATCTTCCGGAAGGCAATTTCATTATTTAGCAAAAGCTTACATGTGCTTCCTATTTGGCCCAGCAGTCTCACTTGTAGGAATCTATCCTGTAGAAACATTAAAAAAGCATATAAAAATACATGAACCGGGATGTTTATTAAAGCATTGTTGTATTAGAGTAAAAATGAAAACAACTAGATTACTTATCAATAAGGGACCAGATAAGTTACTTGTGATTTATTTATACAATGAACAAATAGGCCCCTGTTGCGCAGAATAAAATACACATTCTGACATAAAAAAGAGTAAGCTGGAAAGCAAAATGCAGTGGTGACCTCATACATGTTTATTTTAAAAACTAAACTGTATATGTTTATATATATACATTAAAAGTCTAGAAAGATTGCTCCAAACGTTAATGGCGATCATGGGGGGACAGAGCAGGGATTAAAGAGGAGATAGAGATATTTTCCTTCTAACTTTATATGCTTTTGTTAATTTTTTTTTTTTACAGCAAATGGGTATTTCTTTTATAATTAAATATAAGCAAAAGTTGAAAAGAGAAAAGTAAGAGGAAGCGAGGGTGTGTAAGAGTTGAGCTCTCCCTAATTCACTCTGCATGTATCTTGGCCCTGACTCTCACCACAGGAAGGAGGGCCAGGGTTGCCCAGTGCTTGTGTTTTTTCTGCAGGGCACTTGCAACCCTAGAATATTTATGAGGTATCCAGCAGCAATGACTCCCATAAGGCTGCTGTGAAGATTAAATGAGATAATGTATTAAAGGCACCAAGAAAGCAGCTGCCTGGTAGTAAGCCCTCAACACAGTACTAGCAACTCTTAGTTATTATCGTTATTATTTAAATGGATCCTGCAGCCCAGCCCTGCAGAGTACCCCTCAACTTCCATTTCCCTCTCACTGGCACAGATTTTAAGCATTCAGGGCAGGTGTATAAATGCCTGGTTTCATCTCAGGGCTATAACTGCACTTAATTGCCAACACAACCACTTCAAAAGAGCTGTTCACCTAAGGGATGTTAGTGCAGTTGGAAACCATGGCTACGGGGTTCTACTCAGCTTTAGAAGAGCATTACTTCCTTACCCATTAATGAATACATAAATAAATAATGATCACCATGCAAATGGCATATCTTTCCTTTTTGCAAGTTAAAGCAAAAATGGTTACTGGTCATCCCTTTCATGTAAAACTAAACAAAACAAAACAAAACCAAAAAACGGTTTTCAACGCAGGTGAAAATGAGAGTAATGGATTAAGCCTGTTTTCTCCTAACCCACCTAGTGGAGAAGTTGGCCTCCTACTGCCTCAGAATCCTTCCACTGAAGGTCACCAGAATGGAGATCATGGATGTGCAATCAAATAAAACCCATGATGCAGCTATATTGTAAAAACAGAAAGAATTAAGTCTAGAGAGCCCTCACTTTACTATAAAATTCTTGCTGTCTCTACCAAGGAGACTGAATAAAACTGTGGGTACATGCCTATAATTGCTTCTATGGATCAGAAAAGAAGTGATTATCTGTATGCTAGAATTCATGCATAATAAAAGTAAGGCAAAAATAAAACAGATGGAAGAAATGATAAAGAAAGGAGTTGCCTTTCAGGAACCCCAGCTGCTTACAGCTGCAGGAGTTCAGGAGTTCCTGTAACAGTTTATGTTGGCCATTTTGTTTCCTGGCTAAACTGATTGCATTATATCATGATTTTTTTGACAACATGAAAATCAGATTTTATTTTCTCTCTCATAAACTCTTTTAATACCATTCTTAATAAGGAAGAAAAATGTGGAATGTTTTGACTGATAAATGGAAAAACTCACTTAGGATTTGGTCTACAAATTCCAAGTGGTAAAAAAGCTCAGCAACATGAAAACCATGTGTACCCAAGGCCAAGAGGATCATAGGACTGACAAATAACATACAGTACTGGGTGTCCATTTATGATTGTGCAAGATTTTCATTTTTTGTTTTGTGATTAATACTGTCTCAGAACTGAGAAGTTACCATGCTAACAAATCATTTGTCTATCACATCACCCACCTTCCACCTCCTACAGAATAAACTCTTGATGGAATTTTAGGCATTCGGGACAAGTCGTGGGGGAGCTATTTTTGAGCAATGATTCTTTAGATGGCTGCTGGCTCATATACATCCCCTTCTCACACACTGACTAGTGTGGGTTTGTGTTTAAAAACAGACACCCACAGACACATGGATTTTCTCTCTTTCTCCATTTATTTTGAGCTACTCAAGGGAACTGTATCCTATTTATCTTTA